CTGTTTTCCCATTGCCGGCAATGGGTTTCGTCGTGACACCCCTGCTCTAAGATGTCGTTCGAAAATGAGCATCTGCATTATTCAAAACACAGGTCAGTTTGCTCACTTTTGAAATTTCAATTTGAAATTCAAACCCCTAGAATTTCACATAAGCCTACCTGCTTGACTCTTTTAGGGGTTTGTGGAGCTGCTGGTTCCTACTAGAAAAATGGCTTTTCCAAGGAAAGCACGTGGGAGTACAACTCTGTTTAGTCCACTATTAACTTTGCAAAACTATTCACTGTTCTTCCAAGACCTAAGGATTCTCAGCATCAGTTCTCCTCCACTTCCCTGCTTGCCTGGGTATTTATATGCATGCATATGTATCCCTTTTCCTTTTTTGCTCTTGTTTTGCTTCTTTTATCTAATTAAAAATAAAAACAGGAAAAATGGTGTCTTATTTTGCTTCCATTGCAAGACTTCTTGCAAATTATGCTATGCACCAAATTATGCTATGCACCATGTTTCTTAATTTGTTTTTTTTTTTAACCTAACAATTGAAAGATCAAAGTGCGGCCTCTTTACCACAACCCATCCTTATCACCAAAAAGCATTCTGCTTTAAGACTGCACAGGTAGCATATGCCAGCTTATCCTAAGGCATTAAATAAAACATATAGAAGGAAGCCATACAAAAGCCATATCTAAAATACATTTTACATTTTAGTTTTTAGTCAAAGTGAGGCCTGCTTGTAGAGGAGGATCTTTACCTGTATGAGATGGAAGGGACTGTATAAGTATAGAATTAGGTTTGGGGAAGACATTGGATATGTGATAATACCTTCACTGCAGACTTAACTGACCAGACTGAGCACTTTGGCAGAACCAGCTGGGGTAGAACTTGTGTAATAGAAAACAGCACTGATGTGTGGAAGAACAGTTCCTGTGGTCTAAAGGACTGGAGTTGTGATGGTGCAGAATGGAACAATTGAGGGCCCAATGCATGCTGGAAATCACACATTTGATTTTTGTCCCAGGACAGGATATTCTCTGCCCTTCGTTAGGGACAGACTGCTTTTTGGCTTCCTGGTGCTACCAACAAGCTTGTAAATTCTGACAAGATGGACAGAAGCAATACCTGAGCATCAGTCCTCCTATTTGTTTAGAGCTTCCTGGGAGGAGACTTTCAAGATGCTGATTGTCATGTGTAAAAGCCGCATATGGCATATGGACTAGTTATCTATGGGGCTGTCTCTTTCCTGTGGTTTCTGCCCATCCTGTAAGAACTGACAGAGTTGGCTTGCTGCAGATCCCATTGATTAAGCAATGCAATCAATCTTCAGAATTCTCTGTGGCACTTTCCTTCTGCAACATCCTCCCTGGAGATCTGTTTGATCTGCCATCTTACAGAGTTACCAGTACTTTTTAAAAAAGTGCTAAAAACATAGATCTTCCCCATCCTAGAGGTAATGTGATGGTGTTGGGAGATGTCTTTGTTTTTATCTCTGCAAGTGGGGGAGAGACCCAGTTTAATCTAGTGACTGATTAAGCAATGCCATCTTCTAGGATCCAGTCAGAATTCTCTGTGGCATAAAGCCAGCTGTGTGATTTAGGGCCAGTCATGCTCTCTCAGCCCTACAAAGGAGGCAATGGCAAACTATTTCCAAAAAACCTTGCCCAAAAAACTACAGGGATTTGTCCAGGCAGTCACCAGAAGTCAAAAACAACTCAAAGGCATACGTGCAAACAGTGGGGGGCTGGGGGGCAGTTGTTGTTCCCTCTAGGTGACACTATATATTGAAATTTTATTGCTGACAGCATTGTGTGCATATTAAGTTGCTCAGAATAATTAAAATCAGTCTAAAATCATATTAATAAATTTATATATTTCTTCAGAAATTAAATATAAAAGATAAAGTAATATACTTACCATGATATACTATAACGCAAGTATCTTGTTCACCTTTGCAAGTTATGTTTCTGTCACAGTTAGCAATTGGACAATTGTAGCACACTAAAGCACTTCCTAAATAAACAAGGAAAAAAGAAACTAAACACAATGTTCCCTTCTGAAACAATGTTCCCTTTTGTTTTCCTGTTGGAAAACAAATTATAAGTAATCCTTTTGTTTAGCAATTGTTCAAACTTTTAACCATGTTAAAAAACAGCTTTGTGACCAATCCATGTATTTACAACTATTGTAACATCATTCACAGCTTCACAAGTGGCACAACTGAACAAGTAGAGTTCAGGTTTCCAAAAATCTTGCCAAGGAAACTGCATGGACTTGTTCATATAGTTGCCAGGAGTCAAAACTGACTCAAAGACACACACAAAAAGAAAAATAACAAAAGAATTCCCTTGAAACTGGATGTCTAGGATTGCTCCAACAATTTGCCTCTTTATAAAAGACAGTTTCATACAATTCCAGCCAGGAATCTGTCATTCAAAGGGATATATTTTTTTCTATCATTATTATATCATCCATATAATTCCAAAGCATCAAGCTAAAACTCAGTCAGCCCTTGGAATGATGAGCCACCTTCACTTCTCTGTTCTATTCTTCTGGTCCCTGCACTGTTATCATTCAGTTAGCATTTACCGTTGGGTTCACTTTACTTACCTGAATGGAGAAACAAAGCCAGAACAAAGGCAGTAATGCCAGCAGTGACCAAAAGGGATTTCATCTTCTTTGTGTCTCCTATTCAACCTACATAATAAAAAAAAAAATGTTGTCCTATCAGATGTTCCAAAATAAATGCAATAATCTAAACTGAGCAACAGTATTTGTCTGCCAAGCCTCAACTTTCTATATTCCATGTCATTATGCCAGCCTTATATAAAACTTTTATGAGTGCTAAACAGGAATATATTTTTTTCCGGGCAGGTGACAGAACATTCATGAAAGGCAACAGAATCGAGACTGAAGGTAAAGCCTGTTGAATTATTAGTCTCTAAAATGAAACCACTAAAATGAAACATTATTTCTACTAAATTTGAAAGTACTTTTATGTTGTATATCAAAAAATTGGAATTTATCACAATATGAAAAAAATGTTTACGTGCTTAACACACTTCATATTACTGTTTCGTAAAGACACTCTTGCTGAGATCTCTCATTAGCTGTATCATTTAAATTGATTTTCCTGCATAACCACATGGGACTTTTGTCTCATAACAATCAGAATCCCAAATGAGTACGAGCATTTTGTGAGTCCAGCAGTACAAATGCCAATTAAATTGCACAGTCGCATCACTCTTATTGGCGGTAAACAGCATGATGCAAAGTGCAAAAAGGAAGAAAAAATAAAGAAATGAGAGAAAACAGCTAAAATTAGTCATCAACACTATTAATGATATATTTCCATACAGTTCCATCCTTTTTGCTACCACACCCATATATTGCTTCACACACTGCTTTTTCTTAAAACTTCTCACCTGTTTTGTATTAATTCCTTCTAGCCATATTTTCAATTCTTTCTATGCACATCCTTAACATATTAACAGTAAGTGCTTCATGTGGCAAGTTGCCAACGCTATACTTTATTAAAACGTCATATGAAGGTAGTTAAAAGTACAGTATGTCTATGCTGCAGCACCAAATTTAGATTTAAGTATAAGCTAGGGCAGACATGTCAAACACAAGGCCCGGGGGCCGGATGCGGCCCGCGACGTGGTTTCATGTGGCCCACGAAGCCATCCTGGAAACAGTGAGGGAACGGCCCCCTCTGCCTTGGCCCTGGCTGGCCGGGAGCCAATGTACAATTTTGTGGTGGCCATCTATGCTGAAACCATTCAGTCTTAGCTCCACAAGGCCGTCTGGAAACAGCAAGGGACCGCCCCCTGCCGCATCAGCCCCGCCCCCTGGGTGCATGCTGGGGAGGTGTCACCCTTTGTGAGGAATGAAGAAATGCACCATCGCCTGGAAGTGGCCAGCAAATGGCCCTCGCCTACTTCACATATCCGGCTTGATGGGCTCCGGGGTAGGGGTTTCAGCATGCTCTTCCAGTGGACTATGCCTTGGCGCTTGCTGTGGTCCCACCCCCTTCTGCCAGAGACCCTCAGATCTGTCCCACTCCTGCCCAGGCCCCTACAGGCACCCTTGACACGAATGATGTAGAGCTGGCCACGCCCATCCAGTAGGCCATGCCCATCCAGTAGGCCACACCCACCCTGGCCACACCTACCCCCCAGGATAACCGTAATGCTGATGTGGCCCTCAATGAAATTGAGTTTGACACCCCTGAGCTAGGGCCTCACAATTTTTTAATGTATGCTTTACTTGTTAAGTTTTAAAATGGCAATAACTGCATAGCATATCATTGGAGGAAATAATTCATTTTGTGAAAGTTCCCCAAAGGCCTTAAAACCTGGCTCTGTTAATTGGCCTGGAGCCAGGATAGGGTGTGTCATGCTGGAAGTGGTTAATGGATTGAGAAAAGATTCTGCCTCCACACCTTGTTTGTATCTTTCCCCCTTCCTTAGCCATTTTTTTGTCCTTTTTAATGGTAATATTATAATAGAATTCTAAAATTTACATTTTAGGAGGCTCCCACTCTACCGGCCCGTATATTTAAATTATTTATTTATTCATTAAAGTGAAGACTCCGTAGTTCCTTCTTTTTACACAATTTAACATATACCCCAGCCAAAAGGCTAAAACGTTTGGTCAAGTAAGTTCAGCCTAAAAAGTGAAATTAGTCCCCAAGAGTTGGGTGGCAACTTTAAGACTTGTGGACTTCAACTCCCAGAATTCCTCAGCCAGCAAAGCTGGCTGAGGAATTCTGGGAGTTGAAGTCCACAAGTCTTAAAGTTGCCAAGGTTGAGAACCCCTGCAAAAATGCTTGTTATTCATTTAAAAAGCATATTTTATCCTGCCTTTTTTCCCCTCTAAATAAGTCTCAGTCTCAGTTTGTCTGTCTGTCTGACTGTCTGTTGATTGAACATCCAGTTTTGAGCTTTACGCAGCCCCGGGCGACCAGGCGTCGTCCCGAAAAAGGTGCGCTGCTCTAAAGAGCTGAATGCAACCCGCCAGGTTCGCGCCTCCATTAATATCCTTTTTTGGAACCGAGTCCCAAATGCTTGTCCGCTTCTACCTTTCCGCGTCGGCTTGAAGGCGGCCACCCGCTCCCCTAACTTTCTACACTAAGCGAAGAAAACGAGCTGGAAAGAAAGAAAAGAAAAAAAATACTCCGAGGAGAGAGGTGGTTAAATTTGGATTTCTGAGCGAAACAAAGCAACTCGGCAGGCCAATTCAACGCAAGCCGCTATTTTTATCTTTTTTCTTTTTTGGAGGAGGCTCCTCACTCGTTCGCCATTTCTTTTCGGCCTCCTGCTATCCAATCCCAAGCTAAAGCCCAAGACTAAACGCAAGCTAAAGCCCAAGACTAGCACGCAGTGTTTCTCAACCTTGACCATTTTAAGGCATGTGGACTTCAACTCCCAGAATTCCACAGCCAGCATTGCTGGCTGTGGAACTCTGGGAGTTGAAGTCCACATGCCTTAAAATGGTCAAGGTTGAGAAACACTGAGTCTAGGGTCACTCTCCACGCTATGCCACCGATAAAGGGACCCGCATGTGGCGGACTCAAGCTAGTATCCGGCTAGCTAGCGGGTTTAAAAGGAGAATTGGAGAAAGCCAAACTCAAACGCACACGCCCCGCTAGAGGCCTCGTTTTCAAACGGGGAAAAAAACACACCCAGCGAATACTTACAAGCGAACGCTTAAACGACACGCAGACTCCCAGACGAGAAGACGGATCACCAGGGCGTCACGGGAAAATAAGACCACCGCCGCTGTCAGACCACGCCCGGCGCTGTCAATTCGGGAAAGTTAAATGTATCCGACTCGGGCGAGGCGGGGCCAACCTATGTTAGTTTTCATTGGCCAGTTACAGGCTTAGCGTCCCTGATTGGCTGTGTGTCATCAAGTTCGTTAGCTAGATGGAATGCAGAATAATTTCTTGGCTTTTCGCTGCCGTGCTGAGACCTATGGGGAGATATTTGTGGGATTAATCACAAAGACCGAGGAGAGTAGTACGTCATAATAGGAATATCAGCGCGGGGGGGGGGGAAGGGACAGTATATTTCAATACATTTTAAACATTTTATTCCAGAGTGCGTATGTATGACAGTTACAGTATAGCTTAACGGGAGCCTAAGATGCTTGCTCGTTTGCGGGACCCTCTCCTAAGGGACTTCGCAATGGCCAATTCATGATGACGGAAGCTATCACATGATATGCAGTATTGCCCCCACGGGCCGCGCTCAGAGATACTTAAACTATGATTAAGCTGACTATTTAGAAAGCCTTCGGAATAGATAATAAACTCGGGCTACATTCCGAAGGAGGCTTATCTAGATGTGCTTCAGAGTCTGATCTGGAGCAGTATGAGAAGACCTAAACCAGTGATGGCGAACCTATGGCACGGGTGCCAGAGGCGGCACTCGGAGCCCTCTCTGTGGGCACACGTGCCGTTGCCCCAGCCTTACTTCCGCTCGCAACCCCCTCCTCACCAGCAGCCCCCCTGGAGGAGAGTCACCCCTGAGCGTGGCCCATATGAGAAGACCTAAACCAGTGATGGTGAACCTATGGCACGGGTGCCAGAGGCGGCACTCGGAGCCCTCTCTGTGGGCACACGTGCCGTTGCCCCAGCCTTACTTCTGCTTGCAACCCCCTCCTCACCAGAACCCCCCTGGAGGAGAGTCACCCCCGAGCGTGGCCCATGCGGAGCAGCGCAGCCAGGGACATGGCAGCCAGACAGCATAGACAAGACTCTGCCCTCACGCCCTATCACGCACACTTGATGCTGCGGGGCGCAGGCAGAGGGCGTGGCTGCCATGGTGCTGCTGGGCTGGCTGGGCGATCTGTGGCGGGCCCTAGAGGCGATGAGTGGCCCCGCAGCCAGGAAGGGTGGGGCAGAGTGGGGATGGGGCAGGGGGTGGAGCGGGGGTGGGGCCAGTTTTTGGGCACTCGGTCTCTAAAAGGTTCACCATCACTGACCTAAACAGAGATGACACCACCATTTTTTTTTCAAGATACTTTACTCTGCGTACCAATAATGTGAATTACACATTGAAAAATGTGAATTTCTACTGCTGCTTTTTATTTCAAATGTCACAATATATGCTGCATAAAGCTTTAAACGTATAAAAACTTTGTTAGATGAGAGTTTTTAAGTAGCAAAAATATGTTTAGCATACTGTATTTCGATTTCCTATCTTGGATCCAGTTAATGCCAGAAATCTGAAACATTATTTTAAAGGACCATACAACAGGGGGAAAGAAGTGTAAACTTAATTGAACTTGACAAATAGCATATTGTAGTATGAAAGAATAGGTTCTATTATGCAAAACTAAGCCATTAGATCAGTGGTTCTCAACCTTTTTAATGCCGCAACCCCCAACCGGTCGTAAGTTGAGGACTAAACCGGTCGTAGGTCGAGGACTAAACCGGTCGTAAGTCGAGGACTACCCAGCCGGTCATAAGTCGAGGACTTTCCTTGCCCGGGAGCGCCGCGCATGCGTGGTTCCGTCCCCTGCGCCAGCCGAGGCGTAGCTGGCAAGTGGCAGAGATGGAGCAGGCCGACCACCAGCTGGCCCAGCTCAAGGGAGGTAAGGCACCCGCCGGAAAAGGGGAAAAAAATGGCGGACAGCCTTGCTTGGCGACCCCCGTGAAATGGTTGATCGACCCCAAATAGGGTCGCGACCCATAGGTTGAGAACCGCTGCATTAGATCTATATTTTTTCCCCTTGGTAATTTGATAATTGTTAGTTTTCTACCGCCAATAAGCAAACTGCAGTTCAATTCTCTTGAATTGTGTCTGCTTTTCATGGCACAATAATCTATGATTTAATCAGTGTTTTCCAAATTAATCCATTGGCAGTGTTGACCCAGTGCCTTGTATCAGGGTCTTGCATATGGAATCTTACTGAACACGTCCTTGTGTCCTTGACTTGGTTTTGCAAACCTGTCATAAATTTTTTGCTGACTGAAGTCCTTGCTTGAATAGACAGAATGTACCTCACTTAAGAAGATTGAGAAAAAAATTGTAAGTCTCAGATAACATGGGACAGAGGTTCCTTCTTACAGATTTTTCTCCAACAGTTTTAATATCTCTTTTTTATGGATTTCCCTCCCCCCATTGTTCAGATATCTCTAATTTGGTCTCCTTTCTAATTAACTTTTTTTCTTAAAAACATTTTGGTATTTCCCATGAGAAGCTTGAATTCCCACTCATGTTTCCAACTCCATGCTTTCAGTACCATTAAAAGAGCAATCTTATACATCAGGTTCCACTGAATTTATATAAACATATTTTCCCCTCCCATAGGGCCATTAGCTCTGTGCCTCTGATGATTTCTCCTTTAGTTGCTGGGAAAAGCAGAGTGTAATCCAGGAAGGTTTTTGTTTTGTTCCGATTTGTTTGTTTGATAAGGTGAATACTGACCTGATGAAAGACTGCAAATCTTTTAGACATTGCAATTAATAAGTAGAAATTTGGACTTTTTTTAATCCAGAGTGGGGAGAAGTATCTGCAGAACATATCTTTCTTTCTCTTTTATTGTCCCACATTTTAACAAGTACACATGTACTTTACTCTTTTGTCTGATCCTCTTATCAGTATAATGAGATGGACAACTCTGTATGCATGCATTATCAGAAATAGCAAACAAAATCTTTATGTTCATTTTTGTCTCCTTGCTATTTCAAATATAAAGCTGCAAGAAGCAAAAAGGGAGCTGGACGAAAGCAAAGTGTTTTGTGCTAGCCTTTGGAGCTGCTGTACCTTCCTCTCTAGTAGTGGAATATACGTGTTAAAATAGATGGAGGGCCTCAAGAAATTGGAAATTAGTCTTTTATTTTCCTTTTTTCCATCCTTATCCCCCTTCCCTACTTCTGTCAACTACCTTTGTTCAGCTCATCCATTCCTACAGCCCTCCTGCTTTTTCCCAATCATTACTCAAAAAGTAACTCAGCTACATTCCATGAGGGTAGAATGCTATGGGGCAAATGTTGTGGGGGACATCCAATCTGATACTGACATATATTCCTCTTGTTTCAGGATAAAAATTTATCATGGGGCTGCAAAAGGCTTTAAGAAAAAGAGGAAATAGATTTGAACTTGTAAAATAAATTTAATGAATATACAAAAGCATAGTTAGAAATGAATGTTTAGATCTAAAATGTCAGAAAGTCAAAATTGATGTCACTGAGGCTGTTTTGAATAGCATAAAAGTAATGTTTCATAGATTAGTACAGTTACCATGTTATCCTCTAATGAACCGTGATAACAGAAGAACCAGATAAGAATTTGAAGGAGAGGGGATGTGCAACATTCTTTTTTTTAAAAAAAAAAAAAAGTTTTAATGGGTTTTTTTTTACATATCACCATCAATGTTTGGTAAACAGTGTATTGTCTGGGTTTGTATTTACAAATAACAGTTTCTATAATTCCATATTCCACATAGTAGCTTTCCTTGATGTTCTCTTCTTCCAATAATATTCTCTTTTATCAACCTTAAATTAGTACATTTCTTGATAATTTTAGAAGATAACAAATATCTACGAATATCCCCTACCTCATTATTAAGCTTCTTTTCTAATTAATCATCTAGATCAGTGGTTCTCAACCTATGGGTCGCGACCCCATTTGGGGTCGATCGACCATTTCACAGGGGTTGCCAAGCAAGGCTATCCGCCATTTTTTTTTGTCCGCCATTTTTTCCCCTTTTCCGGCGGGTGCCTTACCTCCCTTGGGCTGGGCCAGCTGGTGGTCGGCCTGCTCCGTCTCTGCCACTTGCCAGCTATGCCTCGGCCGACGCAGGGGGCGGAACCACGCATGCACGGCGCTCCCGGGCAGGGAAAGTCCTCGACTTACGACCGGTTGGGTAGTCCTCGATTACGACCGGTTTAGTCCTCGACTTACGACCGGTTTAGTCCTCAACTTACGACCGGTTAGGGGTCACGCATTAAAAAGGTTGAGAACCACTGATCTAGATCACCTTGTCATATATCCTGTTTTCAGAGTTCTCATTTCAATTTATTTTCCCCAAAGTATTCAAAAGAAAACATTTTTACCTGTTAAAATTTTCTTAGAGTTACTTACACTTATATATTAAAGTCTTTTTCCTCATATGAACCAACACTTACATTTTTCATATCTTGAAACAGAAAGAACAAAGGACAGAAATAATATACTGTCAAAAAAAACATATCCCTCTTGAACTAGAATACATTTATAATCAGTGTTTCATTTTCTAAGCATATTCAAGTCTTCAAAATCCATTATATTTAAGTATTTAGTACATTTTCCTCATATAAATCATCCCAAATATTTTTATATTTCTCATATCATAGACAAAAAATACTGTATTGCTTAAGGAGCCTATCTCTTCTAAGCTAAGATTCATTTGTATTCAAAATTTTATTTCTTTAACCATATTCAAACAAGTGCTTAGTCTTTAAGTATTCCATCAAACCCATCATCTGATTTGTTAATTCTGGCTTTAGCCCTTTTTTTTTTTGCCAAACATTTTTCCTAATCAGTATGTTCCATTGAACCCCAAGATCTTCCTATGGTTTTGTAGTTGTCAGTACAAAAGTCAATTAGAATGTTTTTGTGGGAATATTCCTCAGAGATCTTTTTCTTTCTTTCTCTCTTAGTTTCTCCCTTCACCTTTTTTCTCTCGTTCTTGAAATCTTGATGTATAGATTATCTTTTCCGTGTCCAGTATTTCCTGGAAGCTTTTCTCCATCTGGATTAAATCACGGTTTCTTCCATTATTAAATTCCATCTCTTTAAGTTTCTTTCCACTAGTTTATATTCAATTATCTGCTTTACTTGATCTTTTTTTGTTTTCTGATCATTTGTTTGTTGTGATGTTAAATTGAGAATGTATTCATTTAAGTTTTCAAATTTATTTTTAATTTCCTCGTGGTTTGAAATTAATGTCATTTGTATTTGTTGTAACATAACATACATTTCCTCCTGGAAAGTATTTATTTTTTCTTGATACGTTCTTTCTGCAGACCTCTGATGCTCCATAATGACCAAAAATCAAAGTTTTCCTTTCTCTGCCAATTGCTTTAAAGTCACAGTTTAAAAAGTATTTATAATCCAGGAATGTGCAACATTCTGAAGGAATGCTATCCTTGAAAATAATATTCTGCTAAGTCATATGAATGGATGGGTGAGCACAAAACAATTGATTAGGCCATTCAGACAATTAAGAATAAATTAGAATGGTGAATATTTAGTCATTGTCTCCTTAGTTTCACATACGTGGCTTATTTATATGTATTTATGGCATTAATGATATGGAGTTGAAATGAACATTATAATGTATGTGTATGGCAGTATAGGTTTATGCAGGATAAGTATGTGTAACCCAGATTTTTCCTCTTCAGCAGGTTATTGAGAAATTATGAATACAAAAAATAAAAGGTAAAGTATATTTGCTGATTTAAAGAAAATATGGGATGAAGTGAATAGACTTGAAATAAGCAACACTTGCATAGTTTTACAAAAAGCTAAGTCAAGGAGGTCAATTTGTATGCCTTGCTAGAAAGTTTACTAAAAATGGAAAAACAAATGGAGACATTTTTAGTTTCACAAATGTTGGTAGAATGCTAGTGGGAAGTATTTAGTCTGTTACAAAAAAAAAAGAATGTGGAAAAAAGTGAAAATATGTTTCTGTCCACATTATTATATAGAATTGAGTGATGAATATATCAGGAAAAAGGTGAAAATAATTTGAATAAATTTAAAATAATCCTTGATTATTTAAGGATTTATGGCAAAACAAGATATGACAAAAGCCAGCATAATTGGGTTATGAATTGAAAACAAAAGTGAGTAATTATTTAAAAGTAGTACATTGAGATTCACACAAAGACAATGAATGAGGATCTATCTGCAGAACAAATATATAAAATACATGGGTCAAAAGTAAGTGGAAAAATTAGAAAAATGTAATTCAATAAAGGTAAAAACTTTTTAAAAAGACAATAAAAACAATGTAGAATGTATTCACTAGAAATCCTAACTATATGACCATTTTCAGAATATGACATCCTTAAAGCTGTAGTATAATTAGGACTGGTAGCTCCTTGGTGCTTTCAAATTAAAATGATCAATAAAGACGTCAATAAAATGATTACAAAGTTCATAATCCAAATCCTGCAAGGGTCAGGATCAGAATGGAATTAAAGCTATAATCCTATATTCAATGGGGATTTTCTTCCAAATATATAAGATCTGTATTTCAATATACCCATATAGCTATAGCTATAGCTCTGCTCAAAAGTGATTTCTCTTGTTTTGATAAAATCAGCATGATAAACTCATTTTATGTGTAACAATTGGGAAAGCTTAAATTTACACTGAAAAATATATGTTAACATGGTTTTGTGCCTTAAAATCAGGCTATAAATAAGGATGGAAAGAGATTCCTATATGACTATGAAATAAATAATTTCAAAATGAGTTTTAGTGGATAATTTTCACAATATCCAGAAGCCAGACATTGAAGCCAATCTGGCAGGGAGGAGGGATCAAGTGTGGAGCTAGCCTGGAGACACTGAGCAACTACAAAAAGTCTAGGGCCAATCTCCCCTAAGTTCCCCGGGGTCGTATGTAATTAATTACAAGAGTAGGCTACCAGACTGGGGAGATTTATGTGTTTTATATGCAAAACATGATAAAGTAATTAGCTCAAACTCTGTACGTGTAGGCCTGGTTGTTCGTGCCTGACAGATATAAAGGAAACAGTTTTTAAAGTAATAATATTGGCCTGATAATAGGTTCCATAATTAATCAGGACACTGATAGAAGTCACATCCATTTCCAGTTAGTCGCAGCTTTCTCCTCAGGGAAAGGACACTGAAATTAGAAATCTTTCCACCATTTAAAAAAACCACTGCTGGCTCTTTAAAGTATTTTCCTCTTTTACATGTTTAATATTATAAAATGTGCATAACAATACAGGATATAAATCCTAGAAATTGTAAAATAAGGTGCTGTTCATCTTGGTACCGCTAATTGGGTTCAACCAATTCATATAATTGTCAACCAGCATAAGAAGTATAGGATTGGAAGCCCAAAACATTTGAAAGACATTAGGTTGAGAATGGCTATGTTACAATTCCTAGATGTGTTTACTGACTTAGACCCATCCATTGTTCACCGGGATCAGTATATCGATATGCCAAGGATCGAGTGGGATCAAAAAGAGGTAGACAAAGGAGAGAGGAATTGGATGCTAGTTACATTACTGAGACTTGAGAGAGTATGTGAAGATTTGTCCACAACTATATTACGCATATAATGTAAAATATTTATAAACACAAAATCATTTCAAGTTTGAAAGTATAATATAATGACTAGATACACACAATATCCTATGAAATTTACTTACCATATTTTCAGCCTTGTGAATCTGGCAGATTCTGCCCATGCAGTTAGTTTATGATATAGTGAATTATGCCACCTATGTTAACTATTATTACTATTTTTTAATCAGCAGAGTTGTGTAGTCACTGACAAACAGAATGAAAAATAGTGTAATTCTGCAGGGTTATCATAGCTGTCTGCAAACATCTAGATTACAAGGTTAATTCTATGTATCTATAATCAGATGAAAGTCTGAAGTTCAATAAAGTTTATTTTAAAGTGTTAGATAAGAGGATCATCTCCCCTCATAGTGTTTACTGTGATATCTTTGTTAAATATGTAATAGCATACATTAAACATGTTTTGTACAAACAGGTGATAATTTTTTCCTTGCTGAATGAAATTTGACTTGTTGTATTCCATTTTAAGTATTAAAAAAACAATAGATGGTTTACTCACTGCAACGGTAAAATGTGATGACTTATTTTGTTGCTGAAGTGATGGTATGAATTCAGCCAGGATAGTTGTGTAATTCTAAGCAACTTGGTTAAATAAGTATAGACAGAGGGATAATACTTTTCTTTTTGGTTTCTCAGCAAGTTTCTCTATTTCCCAAAATTCAGGTTCATTGCATTCACATATGGTGCTAATCTGTTTAACAATCCCCAATAGTTGGCAGAATTCTGTCTTATTTTGGGTTTCTTTGTCAGTTCTGAGTCCTTACACAGACCTTACTATTTCCTTCATTTAATTAGTGGAAAAAAGCGAATGATGTTTGCCCATCAACTTTGCTTCCTTGGTCCATATTAGTTTCCACTGAAATAAGTTACAATAATGTTATAAGCTACTAATCTTAAAATACGAAACCATAGGATTTATACATACCAAAGCAAAGCCAGGGTTCTCTCAGGAATCTTTATACATATAGCGTAAGTAGAACATATTGCACATAGTTGTTTCAATACTTTTTAAGATACCAACAGTTCTATATATGTGGGAAAATCTGCAAAAGAATGTTAACAATTGTCCATACACAATATACTTTTAAAATGGCATACTGTGCCTAACATAGGAAGGACTCTGTTAAGTAATACTTTTCAGAGTTTCTCTATTGAATAAAGTCTTCACAGAAAACAATGCAATGAAAAAGAGAGAATACACTTTTAAATTAAGCTCCGTCAATATTAGGTTCTGCGACTAAATGTGGTATGGAATAGGAAATACGTTTTGAAGCAGCAGTTACTGAGTATACTGCATAAAGTGCCACACATATATGAGTTCTCTACAGAGTGGTTATCTTAACACCTGTATAATAGGTAAAGATTGCTATAGCATGTTAAAACAGATAGAAGGTCAAATCTGTCAATGTAGGACTATAAACAGTGAGATCTTACAACCATTCTCTTGGTAACCTCTTAAACTTGTTTATGATGAGCTTGCATTAAAAGTGAGCTGTGAAATATAGTATTCGTGTTTACTGAAAAACATGCAGCTGTAGAGAATGATAAAGGAAAAGAATATGAATCCGCTTCCTTACAAAAAATAGAAATACGATAAATAAGCACTTTCACTGCCATGGATTAACCAGAAATTAAATATTAAGGAGAAGGCTCAATTGTCAAAGACAATCAACATGCACTGAGTGAGAGTACTTTCTTACAAAATTGGTTTTCCATTTTTATATTTTTTTTCCCCATTGCTTTCCTGGCTTAGCTTTAACACTCTTGTAGTTACAAAGACAGTGCTTCTTCAAATAGCTTTAGCTGTTCCAGTAAAAGTGCTTGCGTATCTGGTTAGAACTGGGATACGCAGAGAACATATTACTTTGAATCTCCTTATTACCGGGACATCATCCAAACCACAATTGCTGCTGAAATACCAAAGGGAGTGGTACTGACGAGGAGACTTGGACTCTTATTGCAGAAATCTCTTTGGCAGCAAAGGTGTCTAAAACTGTCAACGCTAAACTCCTGGGCTATAACATCTTTGCCGCATTTTGACATTTTCCAGCACCTGTACGTTCTCAAATTCACTGTAAACAAAATCAAAATATAAATTGAGATCAATTTTGCTTCTGATGAAATACAAGCAAGAGATGCATTTTAAATGACCACACAAAGAAAAATCAGCTGTTTTGCCACTTAAAAAAATATAACACAGGACGTTGTTTAAAATAACAATTTAAAAACATGTCATATTCCTTGATTTGCATTATCTTCCCTTTCCAATATTTGCCATACCACATGAGCATTCAGAGACTAGCACCCTTCTCCTCAGAGAAGTCCTTAAATGTTTTTCAGAAGGGCTGTAATCCAGTAGAGGTTGCTGTAGGAGCAAGAGGTCAGAGGCAATTTTCATTGCCACTTACACCATTTTCCTTACTGTTCTGGAAGGTTTCAAAATGCTCTGCGCAGATGTTTAGGGAAAAAGAAAAGGAGTCAGTAATAACTTTTTCTTTCCCTCAACCTTCCTCCTGTAGAGGCATCTTACAAAGATCTCTGCTGCACTGGAACCATCCAAAATAACTTAAGGGTTACTTTACATAATATCTTTCGGTTTTGAAGCACAAATATAAGAGTTACTGTCTCTGCTGCTCAAGCTTAGAAACTGCAGAGTTAACGTTAGTACTTGGCTATAAACCTTGACTAGTCGCAAGAAGGGTGTTTTAATTTTGTTACCCATAGGTTGAGAGATTCGTGAAGAAGATGCTGTATGGACCATTGGCATGTAGAAAGCATGCATTATAGGGCTGAGAAAGCATGCTTCAAAGAGGATTCAGACAGACTTCAGACCTCAAATGGGCATAAGGCTTCTCTGATATTCATTCAAGCAGCCTGTCTTCTGTGCAAGTTTGAAAA